TGGCAGAGGTGGGCCTATGCCCTCACATTTATGATCTGTCCAATTTTGGCAAATTAAAAGAATTCCTGAAAAAAGAAATTGCAATTGCATATGCCCAGTAAAGACTTCTGAGGCTTTGATAGCTAAACATCTTTGAAGAGACTATTTGAACTGCTCACGCACAATTTCCTTTCAGTTCCTAGTCCTGACTAGAGTAGTTGTCAACCTCGATAGACTCCAAGCACCCTTCACAAAATGTCATTTTTCAGTTTTTACTTGATTTTGGACTTCAGAAAATATAGTGATTCTTCTGTTACAAAAAGCTCAGAAAGATCACAGCAGGTCAGAATGCTTTTAATACTGTGGATTCCTATTTGAAACCTCTGGGTTTCTCCTGTGAATCCTGTTTGCACACCTAACAGTGCTAACTTTGTGTGGCACCCCACAGTACTCCAGAAAGAATCTCAAGGCACCCCTGAGAATCAATGGACTAGACTGAGCATGCATCATCAACTCACAGGCACCTGTGACCAGAATATGCATGCATTATTCCCAGATAACAATCAAGCATGTCAATTTCCCTCAATTCCTAGTGGGGTGAGTACAGGCTGTGAAACTGAAAGAAGCTGGTCTCTAGTGTTTTCAATGAATCACAGCTAGTGAAGAGAAGGAAACCATCCAATTTAAATTTAAAAAAGAACAAAAATATTACTGAGGTTGCAAACTCAAGCACTCAAAATTTAGCAAGAGGCAATATTAAGGTTACTTGTGCAGTATTGCTTCATGCCTCCCAGTTCACATGCAGTATGATACAGTCTAATTCAGGGGTGGGCAATTCTTTTGGACGGACGGCCACTTACTGAGTTTTGGCAAGCCATCAAGGGCCACATGACAGGCAGCCAAGGGCAGATAAATATTAATTTTCTAAATACTTTAGGGGCCCCACGGGCCAGACAGAATGGCCTGGCAGGCTGCACCCGGCCCATGGGCCACATTTTGCCCACGCCTGGTCTAATTACATAATTGGATACCATTTTTTCTACAAGACCCCCCCCATCTCTCAGCACACAAGATATAGTGCTTGATTCCTGAGCAAACATTCAGTAGTTCAGCTGTCCCCTGTATGGCGCTGGGTCTCTTACTGTTTGCTAGTCAAACGCTGACTTTAGTACAGAACTACATTATAGCGATATAGAGGCTAACATTTTTAAAAATATTACATCAAGTAAAGCCACTTGGGTAAAGCAGGGGTGTAGGCAGTATTGATCTAAGGACATAGGCAGACAAGGTTCTTTGGGTGAATCTGATAGCTTTTATTAGACCAACTTAAATAGTTGGAAAAAAAAAATTGGCAGGCTTTCGGGTTTAAAAACCCATCGCCAGGCTGTGCACTAGTCCACCCCTTCCCCCTCCTCACCCCACCTTCCCTCTCTCCCTCCTGTCTGCCCTGCTGCCTTCCTGTACTGAGGCACCCTGCCACTTGCCTTCCTCACTGTACTATGCCCCACGCTAAATGTTAACCAGTAATGCATTACCAGTATAAATATACTTATTAAGTGTTTAACATTTCACATCCCTAACTTGAGTCATGATTTTTTCACAGCACTTAATGTTATCTAGCACTTCATATTTTCTAGTACAGCTCCCAGTGACTTTAGTTTCAGTTGTGAATGCTTCTGCATGACAGACCCAACAGGCTCAAGTCGGATATCTAAAAAATGAGGAAGGAACACACAATTAATGAGCACCTCTGATCATTTTAAGTGAACTCTGTGCAAAAACCAGTAAGATCCAATTCTCCACAGAAGTAGTCAACTGTCTTAATTACGTGCTCCTTGTGGCAGAAATGCCACCGTCGGTGCCCCTCTCCAGAGACCTCTCTGCCAGCCTGAGAGGCTGGTGTTGATCCCTCAGGGCGGGGATCTCCCTCCTTGTCTGCATGACAAAAGCCTGGTGCCTGGGAGGCGATGCTCTGGTCACCTGGGCAGGGGGGAAAGGCCCGGCCCTGCCCACGGGCCCAGGTAGCCAGGGATGCTTGGGAGATTGGTCGGCTTGTGGCCAGTATTGGCAGCTTCGATGGGACCGGGCTGCTGAGGTCAGAGAGGTTATTTAAGGGCCCGGGCCAGGAAGAAGGCATCCATTAGCCATGCGGTCATCCAGGTGAATCTGAACCTGGCTCTCTCCTCATCACCGCATGCGCCAAGAGTGCCCTGCCTCCAGAGGAAACTCCAACCACCTCTGGACGATGCAAGTGAGTAAGATACTCGAGATCCGATTAGATAATTAGCTTCAGTAACTCAGATGCGTGTTTAAACGGCTACCTCAGCCATCCTGGTTTGCTCTATGGGATTCCTTTGATATTCCTGTAAGATTTCTATGATATTGCTCTACCTTTTACCCTGTTTCCGTCCTACCCCCTGTAATCAATAAAGTTCTCCTTTGTGACCGGTGTGGGAGACTTATTGAGGGGTAGGTCTAAATTATGCCAAGGAGGCCCCTTAGGTCTGTGAACTAAGGGAGGCTTCCCTAATAAGCCCCTGACTTGGGGAAGTGCCCCAAGTGCTTGTATTGGGTCTAGTACCCATTGGATGATCAGGCCTGTGTTTTCCAAGGTGCGCAGAGCCAGAAGTGAGTCCAAAGCCTTGGATGGTGGCAGCAGGAACCCCAGGCTAGCGGGTGTGCTCCAGGGAAGGGGTTGGCCAGACAGGAGGCACCCCAAGGGAGGCACTCGGAGCCTGGAAGGTGGTCGGGCACAGGGAGGTGGGCGGCTCAACGCAGGAGCGCCCCCTACTGGCCCACCACACTCCTTCCTCTCTCATTGCAAGTCTTAGAAGCTGGAAGGTGTGCAATGATTACACCAAATGAAACTATGGTCCTACAGTTTCTTGTGCTACATAGGCCTGTTTCATCCCTAAACCAGATTCATTTGGAGCACAGAACGAGCCCTTGGAAAAAATAAATAGTATGCATTCATTAAATGTTGTACCATAGTACATATATACACACATGAGTCAAATTAAGATTGTAGAGATAATTATGGCATTTCCTAACTTTTGAGTGCTTGAGATGGAACATTGTTAAGGTTGCTTTTTACATGTTTTTTCTAAAAGAGAGTTTATATGATATCATATAAATTTGACCTTGATATTTCTGATATGTTCATCACAAAACAATGTATTCCTGCTCCCCAGCCAAACTCAGTTTCATGGAAAAGGGCTAGATTCACACTAGTAACTAAAATAGGCTTAGGGGAAAAGGTGCGTCCAACAGTATGCTCTCAAGAACACAACAGGCACCTCTTTTTCTGTGCCTCAGTTTAGTTTAGCATTTGGCAAAAGCACTGTGGAAATAAACAACTGAAGCCCCAAATACAAATGAAGCCCTGCAGCCAAATGCTCACAGTGCAACATGGGACCAGTGTTTAAACTGTTTGTTATACTTAAGATGAAATACAAAGCAGAAACCAAAGTGAAACTCAAATGGATATTACCGCCTACAATAGAACATGCACCTTTCACAGAGGCTTTAAGATGACTCAAAAATATAAATGGAGAAGATTGTTAACTGAGACAAACTGAAGTCAACAGGCTATGACAATATGTAGCTGGAGGACTCATTGAACATTTTCATTCTTTTCATACAGAGCAGTTTATACAGTCTTCGTAAGAAGCATCAGAAAAGCAAAACATGGCTGTCTCATTCTTCAATATCAGTGGCCTCCAACCTTTTTAAGTACGAGATCACTTTTTGAACTGAAGTGTAACCCAGAGCCTACTGCGCGCCAACCCCACCCCCCGCAAGTCAGTCGGGGGGGGGGGGGGGTGGAGGAGGGTTGGGGGGGGTGGAGGAGGGAGGCAGGGAAGATCGAGGCCCCCCTACATGGTGAGGGAAGGAGTGGGGCAGAGGCAGGGGTGAGTGGGGCCCCGGCCAGGCCAGGTGGTAGGAGGATCAGAGCCTAGGCAGCTCGTCCCACCACCAGCTGGGCAGGGGGCATGGGGCACAGCTCAGCCCAGCGGTGGGATGCATGTGGCATTGCGCTGCTCCCAGATCAGCTACAGTTAGGCTTGGAGTGCAAACCCCAGCACCGCCCCGTGCATAGATTGGGGGGGGGCCACATGCCCCCTGGGACTCCGTCAGAGTGTACGTGGTGCCGGGAGTCCCCCCACACCCTTAGACGAGCTGCCTGTGCTCCAATCCTCCTGCCACAGCCCGGCCAGGGTCCCCCCTCACCCAGTGGCAAGGGGTGCGGCAGGGCGTGGAGGCGGATCATCCCACTCACTCAGCCCGACCCTGGTGACAAGGGGTCACAGCTCAGCCCAGTGGCAGGACACACAGGGCATCATGCTGCTCCCAGAGCAGCTGTAGCTCTGCATCTCAGTCTGTGGGGGCTGAGCACACGCATGCATGTGTGCTCATTTCCCCCAGACTAAGATCAACTGTCACAAGGCTCTGCGATCAACCAGTCGGGTTGGTGGCTACTGTTCTATATGATAAGACTCAGGCAACTAAAGTGAAACTAAGCAGATTCGTTTTACTACGTGATCTAAAAAGCACAAGCCCAGGTAAAAGCAGAGGCAAACTAGTTTTTCCCTCATATTAACGTTATGGACTGCTGATGCAAAGATAACGGTAACAGCATTATTTTTCTTGATAACATCATTTTTAAGGTAATATAATGGAAAATGAACCACATACCCTAGCCAACATGCTTCTAAATTTTCCCATGTACAATCACTTCTTACCAACCCTTAACTCAAGGCTATGGAAAATATTTTAGCAAATTCTGTCTGCAAAGTTCAGTAGAAAATACAAATTATACTCTACTATACAGTATGAATGTACTTAGTATCATGTTTCCGATACTAAGACAAGTCAGGTTATTTTAACACTAGAGAAAGTAAAGATATTTTTAAATCCAGTAGCTGCCTATTAAATGATTTCTTTGAGAAGGCTAGTATGTAGTAAAGCCCCATTCTATTTTATTCCATGGTAAACCATTTGTATGGACTATACTATTACAACTTAGTACTTTCTCTCTATTTTTCATACAAGTATTTTAAAAAACTGAGAAACGTAAGTTACATTTGTAATCCTCTGCATTTTAACAAGATACTGCCATCTGATAATGAGCTGGCAAAGAACAGTATTACATATTGGCTCCCTTAAAAATGTACATTATTGCACCACTTTCCTAGAAGAGGCAGGACTCAAGAACCAGACATGTTTAAGGGAAGAAATACAACATTTACCTGTATTTTTGTTCACAGATAATCTTGGAGGAGAATTTGCGTCCTCTGATTCTTCAGATGAGTGAGCCAAGAAGTCATGAAGCTTCTGTACCAGGGTGTCCAGCTTGCTTTCACTGTTAAAATAATAAGTTTAACTTGAAGTTACCTTCATCATGCTGTAATAGATTCACTGAGATATAATGAAAGTTTGAAATTAATGTTATTTGTTCTCAAAAACCTTGTATGCATAGGGGAAAAAGAGGAACTGAAGTGTTTCCAACGCATAGATGTTTTCAATCAAACATTGATTTCCAATATCAAAACTAATATATCAAAACTAAGCAAAAACTCAAGTTAACCCAAAATGTGTATAAATACAGATTTAGCAGTGAAATGGGTTGACACTTAGGACTACGTTAACAATAAAACAAACAAAAATATTTAATTAAAATATGATTTACAAGAAACTTTATTAGAGTAACACAACATTGTTCATTTAAAAAATAGCATTAAGTTAAAGGTTAAGCTTTATGCTCAACTATAAACTTCCTGTCCTAAATAATATATAAAAATAGGAAGAGGAAATTTGATTATAGAAATAGCAGCCTGGGGATACAGAACTCAGCAAAAATTACTAGAAGTTTCTCTCGCTGCCTAAAGAAAAATATTTTATACAGATGTACAGACTCTTAAGACATATCTACATGCTCGTACCAAATCAGCCGCCAAATTATTTAGAGTACCTTACAGAAAGTAATCAGCAACATTCATCTAGTCAAAAACAAAAAAAAATCTCCAATGGTTTAGAATCAGACGATTTCATGTCTTTATTTAAATTAGCTAATAAACCAGCACTGCCATCAGAATTGTAATCAGACAGTTTTACAGAACAGGAGCCATTGGTCATCTCATCCCTCATGCAGATAACACCATTTACTTACCTATAAGACAGGCCCTAATTTAGCAACAATTATTATCAGTATTCCTTGCCAAACACTACCTTACACTACCTAAAGAATATGTATTCTTCTCAGAATACAGATCTCTTTCCAACCTTCTAGAGGCTCCTGAGTCAATATGCCTTTTTCCAGCTATTGGTACTTGAGTCAACTTGATTTTTTTAAACTACTTTCAAGACATTTTGATGGAACATTCTAATTAGAAGTTTTCTGCTCCACTACGTATGGTTTAGAAGCTTAAGTCCCCATATCTAATCTACTCCCTTCTTTCTGCACACACAAGTTATTTACGTCAAATCTACTTGTGCCTTTTTAATTCCTATTTCCCCAATGCTGCTAATGAAAAATTACTCATTTTAGGTCCCGAGAAACAACATGGTACAAATTCTCCTCAGTGATGTCATCTTCATCCTAATGCAATGAACCACCACCTAGATTAACGATCAGAAATCCTAGTTTTTCCTGATTAAAATAAATAAAGAAATAAATAAACCCATAAATTCTCTGGTAAAAAAGTTGCAAATTCTCTGTTAGAACCCCCCAAATCCATTATTAAAATAAAAGGCCATCCACAACCCTGCTGGTATCCATCACTCCCACCCCACAGCCCCTGGTCCTGCTGGTGCCCCTCACTCTCCCATCCCTCCCCCACAACCCAATGGCCCTGCCAGTGCCCCTCATCCTGCCCCGCTCCCCCCCTCCCCAGCTCTGCCAAAAAGGGCCCCCAGCTGCCAGGGCTACGGGGTCCTGACCCCAGGTCCACAGTCCCCTGCCTCTGGCAGGAGGTGGTAGCTGCTAAGCCTGGTTCCCCACTGCCTGTTGCGGGCTTGGGCAGGGGAGGCTGGCTCCCTGCTGCTGCACACACTCCCCAGGGAGCAGGGGGCACCTGTGCCCCCCAGATCAGAGCATGGGGTGAGCTGTATGCTTGGGTGGGTGGGGGGGAGGGGTTGGGGCCAGCTCCTTGGCACTGCATGCACTCCCCAGGGGGCAGGGAAGACCCACGCCCCCCAGATCCATGCATGGGGTGGGTGAGGGCTGCAGGCTCCCACCTTGTTGCCCTAGCCCAGGACCTCTGCAGCCTGACAGGCACAACCCAATGCAGCAGGGAACAGCAGGGCCATGCAGAGAAGCTGCCTGCAGCTGCGAGCTCCACGCTGCCCTAGCAATGCGCCTTCTGCGCACACAGCTGCAGTGAGGGCAGCGGTGCAGGGCTGAACTGATCAAAGCTGCCCCGTATGCAATGGGCACGTTGCCAGACCAGCAACGTGTCCATTTCCCCCTACCTGTACCAGCTGGTCCCAAAAGGCAGGAGGCTTCACCGTTGCTTCTGCTGGCCAGTGCTGACCCAGCCGGGCATCCCCAGCAGCACGTGGGAAGCCAGCTTCAGCCGCATGCTGCCCTGCCCAGCCGGGTCGGCACTGGCCAGGAAAAGCAGCAAGCAGCTGAAGGCGGCTTTCCCC